TTGTCAAACCACCTCCACCTCACAGTCTGTTGATGACGGCGCAGCAGCACGTGTGTGAGTGTGTGAGTGAGTGCGTGCGTGTGTGTGTGTGTGTGTGATTATTCAGCTCCTTCTGTGATCCAGCAGCTGTGGTCTCAGCTAAACAGACTCAGTATTGATGTGTTGGGATCTGTTGTGTTTGAGCAGGTGTGGTGGAAGCGTGTGTTCTTCACGGCCTGAAGCGACGGGCCGCTGGATTCCTGCGCAGCAACAAGCTGGCGGCTCTCTTCATGAAGATGGGGAAGATGTTTCCACCAGCCGAGGAACTCTGCAGAAAAGTTCAGGAACTGGAGCAAATCATCGAGAACAAGTGAGAAACAATACAAGTGTTTTCTTTGTATGTTCCTTTCCCTTATAAAAATAAATAATAATTAATACAAAATAATAACATTTTTATTATTATTATAAAGGATGTTATTATATTAGTTTTAATCAATTATTATTATTATTAGGTTAAATTCTTACATTTCTGGCATTACCCTGTGTTCTTTGTCTGTTCCTTTTTCTTAGAAAGGTGTTATATAAATGAAAAATATAATAATCATGATTATTAGCATTATAAGGGTGTTATATTCATTTTAATCAATTAGTTATTAATATTTTACAATTAATAATACTACTAATAATAGTAACTATTATTATTATTATTATTATTATTATTATTGCTATGTTTAGGTAAAATTGTCACATTTCTGGCATTATCTTTTTTTATTTTCTGTTCCTTTTCTTTAGAAAGGTGCTATATAAATGAAACATAATGACAATAATAGTAATAATAATAATTTTAACAATAATGAATAATAAAAATATCATCATTATTGTATTTATTTATTTTTAATTATATTTAAAATATAATTACATATAATTTTATTCATTTATGTTTATTATTATTATTATTATATGAATTGTTAATAATGTCTATTTACATTTAATTATTATTATTATTATTAAATTAGTCATCTAAATATTTCTGCTGGTTTAAAATGAATAATGATTGTGCGCTGATGAATGGTATATTTGAGTATTAAGTATCCAAAGTAAATAGGGTCAGTTAATTTGATTTTCATTGAATCACTATGATTTTAACTTTCACAACACAAGACAAAACCAGGGTCAGATGAGTCAAGAGAGCGTCCGGAAACAGCCCCGGCCTCCAAACCTGTCGCCGCTGGCCGTCAAACACCTGTGGATCCGCGCGGCCCTCACAGAGAAGCTGCTGGACAAAATCGTCCTGTATTTGGTGGAGAACAGCAGGTGAGGAATTCATATATAATAAAAGATATCATTTCTGACAGGTTACAGACTGTGGTCTGGAATGGAATACTAGCACACTGTGTTCATGTTTATGTTACATGTTAAAGGTGGGGTAAGCGATTTCTGGTAGCCAATGTTGACATTTGAAATCACCAAAACAAACACGCTCCTACCCTAAAAGGGTCTCGCCCCTATTTTGATAGCTCCGCCCCACACATACGTACGCAACCCAGGCAACGATTAGTTCTGTGAAACAAAGCAAAACCAATTCACCGTGTCTTCACCGGACGCGAGTGGCGCGGCTCGACAAAATACTATAGAACTCATTATAATCAGTGATGCTGTCTACACCATAGATATATATATTAGGTATGTGCATCTCCATAACTGAGGCAGATACGATACGCATCTCGATGCATAGCCAACAAGACGATACATTAAAGATACATATGAAGCAGATAGCGATGCGATACGATACGATTCACCCGTTATGATGCAATGCGATCTTTTTTCGATTCGATCCGATTCAACACACACATTAGGTAGTAATTAAGTAGTAAGCTTAGTAATTAGGACTGTATTAGCTTACATTTTATTTACCCATTACAATAGTCCCTTTACAGTTACTGCTATCATAAGAATACACCTATATGTAGGTTTAAAATTTTACAAAAGGCACATTTAATGTCCAACAACGAATATTTTATCAAAATGCATATTGGTCACTTTCTAAACAATAAAAGTGTAGCCATCCACTAGTAATTATATATAAATAAATCGTTTTTTACCGATGCAAATATGTTATAAACGCAGACTTTAGCTGTTGTAGACACGGTGTTCCTCACCTATTGAGAAGAAACAAAGCAACCTCGGCGTCCGATCGCAGGCCTTCCGCTCCTTGAGTTCTCTCCAGCGCTGGAAAGCTGATCCGATATTTACACAGGTCCTACTTCTTGCCTTAAGCCTTCTTTTGTTCCGCAGACGTTTTCCTCTTTTGTTTTTTATCCGCCATCTCTATCTTTCTGTCGCTCGGCTCGCTAATGTCCGTCCTGTGCACTGAATGCTCTCTCCTCCACATCATGAGTAGACACGCCCCTTATTGCTGATTGGCTACAAGTTTGTTTTGCTAGTCGGCCCGAATCAGTTTTCTAAAGCGCTTTTGAAAAATCACTTACCCCACCTTTAAATTCAGTGGCATTCAGTTCACAAATGTGACCCTGGAGCACAAAACCAGTCATAAGGGTCAATTTTTCAAAATTGAGATGTATACATCTTCTGAAAGCTGGATAGATAAGCTTTCCATTGATGTATGGTTTGTTAGGATAGGACAATATTTGGCTGAGATACAACTATTTGAAAATCTGGAATCTGAGGGTGCAAAAAAA